AGGATGTTCATTCTGGCGGGCATCGTTTCCGCGGTGAGCTGGGTTGTGCGATACCGCATCCTCAACATGTACTCGCGACTGCCACCAGAGCCCCAGCGCAAAGAGCCCGATATCGACCTGTTCCCAGATACCCATGACGAAGGGATCAAGTCGGGCCTGTCGAGCTACTTGGATGAGTTTTTGAGCGCAATCAAGATATTTGGTTATCTCGAGCGTCCTGTCTTCCATGAGCTCACTCGGAGCATGCAGACTCGAAAACTTATAGCTGGCGAGACCATCAACCTCGAGGAAGAGAAAGGCTTCTGCATTGTTGTTGATGGGCTGGTTCAAATTTTTGTCAAATCGGGCTTGGATCCAAGGGCCAATGCTGCCGACCATGGTGATGGTTATGATGACGATGATTTGAACCCAGGGCACCAAAGATATCAGCTCCTGACAGAGGTGCGAAATGGTGCGCCCATGTCGTCATTGTTTTCCATTATGTCGCTCTTCACCGAGGATGTGAAACTGGATCACGTTGATGAACAATCGCAACCATCATCCAGGCGGCATAGCAGAAGGAACCTCAGTTTTCACAAGGCATTTAGCATGCAGGGATCTCCAGACATCTCTTCCTCAATGCCTACCAGCCCCAAGCTTGGAACTGGAACAGGAAATCAAGGCCCCCCTCAAGATCACGAGATGAGGTACCGGACTACACCAGACTCCAACTCGTCGAGAATTCCGCATATGTCCTTGGATGGGGCTACACCCCCAAACCTGCAACGCCCGAGGTTGTTTCACAAAGCAACTTCCGGTTCAGCTCACCCTGATATCATTGCGCGAGCCACAGTTGACACAACTATTGCCATCATCCCAGCGAGCGCCTTCCGTCGATTGATTAAAGTCTACCCCAAGGCGACATCGCACATTGTTCATGTTATCCTTTCCCGCTTCCAAAGAGTAACATTGTCACATGCGTTCAACTACTTGGGTCTGACTGGCGAAGTGTTGCAGACTGAAAAGAATATGATCAAGCATACTGTTTGCCAGCTCCCCAATGTTCTTCGAGGTGATGCTCTCTCGAGGCTGAAGGAAAAATTCAGCCAAGAGCGCGAGAAGAGCAATGAAGATGATAGGGCAAAAGGGATTGCGCTCCATAACCCAGTAACGCCTCGCCGTCGGCGGTCTAGTAGCGGCGCTCTCCGCAAAGAGGCGATGCTGCACTCCATGAACATGAGTTCTGCATCTCCTATGACAGACAGACATAGATGGGCCGCCCCACCTACCCCAAGGCCTGGCGACCTGCTGGGGAGCATCCAAGTAGCCCGGGGATTTAACAAGAGCTCTTTCTCTGATTTGCGAGGCAGCCCATTGATAGACGGTAGTAGGAAAGACGATAGCAACCCCCTGTCGCAACGAACCTACAACCCATTCAATCCTCAAAAGGGTCGTATCAACATGGATCCTCGCGAGTCGCTGGATGAGGACAATCTGTTTAGAGCATCAATTTTAGAGTGCATGTTCAAGGCTCTTGGCCTACACAATGGCGGCCCTTTCTCGCATGAATCCGAGTCGATAGAGGCATCACCAAGATTGGTGGGTATGGATACAAAGCGTACCAGGGCACTGTTCTCGAACAATGCCTTTGGCATCATAGGTCCTTTTGATGGTCCTAGCGACGGTGACTCGGAGTCCGTTACCTCCAGTGGCATAGCGATGAACTCACCGCCCAGTCCTCAGAGCTTGTCCAATGACATGAAACACGAGGTTGAGATTGTTTTCTTTCCAAAGGGCTCTGTTCTTGTCGAACAAGGCGAACGCAATCCCGGTCTCTACTATGTCGTCGATGGGTTTCTTGATATTGGTACAACGAGCACGAGCGATCCTCACAATCTCTTCCCTACGTCGGAATCCGATTTTGTCGGTGTCGATAATGATGATGAGCCATCGATATTGGAAGCGTTTCCAACCCTGGCTCGGACCGAAACTGCCCGCGAGAAGGATGAGTTCCAGAAACACTCCGGAACGCATCGCAGAAGCGTGGCTTTGGTCAAGCCGGGCGGGTTAGCTGGGTATATCGGGAGCGTCTCTTCGTACAGATCTTTTATTGACGTGGTTGCCAAAACTGACGTCTATGTCGGATTTTTACCCCGTGCTTCTCTGGAACGCATCGTGGATAAGTATCCTATCATTCTGCTCACCATGGCCAAGAGGTTGACCAATATTCTCCCACGATTGATCTTGCACATTGACTTTGCCCTGGAATGGGTTCAGGTCAACGCAGGGCAAGTCATATACCACAACAACGATGAGAGCGATGCTATCTACGTTGTTCTTAACGGTCGACTGCGGCTAGTCGAACAAAAGAAGGGAGGTGTGATTAGTGCCCGTGCTGAGTTTGGCCAAGGCGAGAGTGTAGGAGAGCTCGAAGTCTTGACGGAAACAGCTCGTTCTGGAACTTTGCATGCCATCAGAGACACCGAGCTTGTCAAGTTTCCGAAGACACTCTTCAACAGCTTAGCCCAGGAACATCCCAATATCACGATCAAGATATCCAAAATCATCGCTTCTCGCATGAGGGCAGTTCTTGAAGATCCTACAAGCTACCAGGGCATAGAGACAACCGCTGGTGCAATCGCAAACCAGCGCAAGTCGGCGATGAATCTTCGGACTGTTGCCATCTTGCCTGTCACAGCCGGCGTTCCCGTTGTTGAGTTTGGCAACCGATTACTGAATGCACTCGCACAAGTCGGCCCGCCTAATGGTGCTACATCACTCCACCAGACAGCGATTCTTAAACACCTTGGCAAACATGCCTTCAACAAGATGGGAAAGCTGAGACTGTCTCAGTATCTCGCTGATCTCGAAGAGAAGTTTGGTCTCGTGGTATATATTGCAGGTAAGCATAAGCTTGTTCATTTTTGCTTTCGGCAAATATCTTCACCCCATTACCTCGATTTTATGATGATAAAACTCCTATGTCCAAAGGCAAAGCCGCTGATGGTGCATGTTAACTCTAATTTTTTCCTGATCCTATTTTCCAAACGATTCTCCATGTTGCTACTACATTATCAGGGAGAATACCACGCTAACATCAAGGGAATGTTACAGATACCAACGTTAACTCACCTTGGACTCAAACATGTATTTCTCAGGCTGATAGCATTCTACTTGTCGGTGTGGCCGAAGGATCGCCTGCCATCGGGGAGTACGAACGCTTCATGCTAGGAATGAAGTCGACAGCCCGAAAGACGCTTGTCCTTCTCCACACGGAGCGTCTATCTCCACCAGGACTGACAAGAGCCTGGCTTCGAAATCGGATGTGGATCAACGGGGGTCATTTCCATATCCAAATGGCGTTTCGAATGAATCCTATCCCAGTTCACCCACCGTCAAAGAAACTCGGCCAGGCTCTGAAGGAGCGGGTCCAGGTTCTGCAAGCAGAAATTCAAAAATACACCTCAACGAAAAAGGTTCATCATACCCCGTACTACTCGCCTGAAACCCCTTACAAGGGAGATTTCCATCGCCTCGCCCGACGTCTGTGTGGCAAATCTATTGGTCTTGTTCTAGGCGGAGGCGGAGCACGAGGTATCAGTCAAATCGGTATTATCAAGGCTCTTGAAGAGGCTGGTATTCCCATAGACATGGTTGGGGGGACATCCATCGGTGCCTTTGTAGGTGCTCTCTATGCACGACATGCGGATATAGTTCCCATGTTTGGATTTGCGAAGAGATTCGCTGGCCGCATGGCAAGTCTGTGGCGATTCGCTTTGGACTTGACGTATCCTTCTGCCTCGTACACTACAGGGCATGAGTTCAACAGAGGTATCTTCAAAGCTTTTGGAGATACTCAGATTGAGGATTTTTGGCTGGAGTATTACTGCAATACAACAAATATCAGCAAAAGCCGAGCTGAGTTCCACACCAGCGGCTACGCATGGAGGTATATCAGAGCTTCCATGTCTCTGGCTGGATTACTACCGCCACTGAGTGACGAGGGTAGCATGTTGCTCGATGGAGGGTACGTGGACAATCTAACAGTGTCTCACATGAAGGGTCTTGGCGTAGATATTATCTTCGCCATCGACGTTGGTGCACTGGATGACGACACGCCTCAGACGTACGGCGATTCGTTGTCCGGGGTGTGGGCATTCTTCAATCGCTGGAACCCCTTCTCGTCGCATCCAAATCCACCTACCTTGGCAGAAATCCAAGCTCGGCTGGCTTATGTCTCGAGTGTGGATGCCCTTGAACGCGCCAAGATCATGCCAGGATGCGTCTACATGCGACCGCCAATTGATGAGTATGGTACACTTGACTTTGGCAAGTTTGATGAGATCTATAAGCTAGGGTACAAATATGGTCAAGAATTCATCCAGAAGATGAGGGATAAGAAAGCCCTCCCCATGTTGGAAGAGGCCGAGGCAAAGGAAGCCATGCGGAGAACTACTGCCCCACGAAGAGCGAGCATATAATGCTTGGCTTGGCAGTATGCAATGTAGTCAACCAGGAAGCAGAGATAGACTAGAGAATGTCGGCATCATTGTTTCACGAAACATCATCCCACCCGTCTTGGCAGTAGCCCTGCAGGCCAATCAGACTCAACTCGACGCCGAGACGCTCCACCGTCTTGACCGCTCCGTTTGCCAAGATCAGCCCTCCAAGGACCCTGCGAAGGATTAAGCTTATGAGTCTATTTCCGTAAAGCGTTGGTTGCTAGCTGCATCTGCCATGATCCATGGTTAAGCGAACGAAACCTGCCACGTACGTCCATGCATTACGTGAGCTATCCATGCTCGTCTTGAATCCTGTGCCGTCCGTTCCACCAAGGGTCGTGCAATGTAGGCATTATAGATATAAATCTCACGCATCTATATGAGTGGAGCAGATAACCACTCTCCAGCAAGCCATCCATTCCCCCTTTTCGAATGTTCATGATCAACCACCCCATAACAAGATAGAGTGCGCTCTCCACGTAGGCATATCAAATCGACACACATTACTGTGTTCCAATTTTACTCCGCTAAGTCTGCGTCCCGACAGCGGATAACACAAATTGGTACCAGGAATACGGCATGCTCGACTGACAAGAATGTCTTCGGACCATGACTTGAGCTTGCCTCCCCGTGGACACCATGAGTTAAGCCTGGCTCCGCGTCGACAACCCGATGCAGACCTGAAGCCTCGTCAACAGCATGATCCAGCTTTGGATTTTCGCCAAGAAGCTGAAGTAGACCCAGATCCAGGTCAAGAATACGAACTGGGCCCAAGTTCCCATGGGCAATATGATCCAAGCCTGGATTCACGTCGACCCTATGATCTCGACCTAGAACCGCGTCGGCAGCACGATTCAGACCTGGACCTGCGGCGAGAATGTGAAGTCGAGCCAGCCCCACGCCGAGAATATGAACTAGACCCTGGCTCTCGTCGAGAATATCAACTGGATACTGCTTCGCATCGACGATATGACCTAGACATACATTCACGTCAAGAGTATGATTCAGACCCACGCCGAAGATATACATTGGACCTGGATTCACGACGACAGTATGACCTGGACCTGGATTCACGCCGGCAATATGATTTAGACCTACCTCGGCGCCGACAGCATGATCCGCGTCGCCGTCATCCTTCTTCTTCACCCCCGTCTTCTTCTTCACCCCCGTCTTCTTCTTCTTCCCGCCGTGGCCGCCATGCATCTTGCGAACGCACGATGACCTGCAAGGAAGTTGAGAAGATGTACGGCGGGTTCGACTGGACAGAGACCGCTATGCTAGCGCTGACAGGCGCAGTGGCGGTTTTCAGCATCAACAGAAACCTGGAACGATACCAGAGAAGGAGAAGAGAGCAGGCGGAAGAGGAAGAGCAAGCAAATACAGAGCGTGAGCTGCGCAATGACCAACAGGTCAGGAGGAATAGAAGCGAGAGCATCGGTGGCCGCCGAGCCCGGTCCGAGACATGGAATGGGGGCGTCGACGATGAGTATCACAGAGCCGGGCATCGAAGCCGTGATATGAGCAGATTCAACGAGGACAGAAGGCTGAGCGGGAGGCGGAGCAGCAGAAGAGGAGACTGGGGCGATGATGATGATTACGATAATGACGAGGATGCTTATAAACGACGTCAACACAGGAGATCCTACTACAACAGAGCAAGGGACACACGTCAATAACGCTGCTGGGGACTTGACCCAGCCATTAACGGCCGCCTCATAAGATACCACTATACACATAGAGAGAGAAAGAAATATCATGACATGAACTGAAAGTTCAATATATTCCCTACTATTTACACCTGGTCAATCCTGCTGTCCTTGAAATTCTTGAAAATGAAGCTCAACCAGAAGCACAAACAGCCAACTCCCATGAATTCCCATCCTAACCGTCCTATACACCACAGTATCACAAGCCGATTCTATTCTAGTCTGCTTACGGCTTGGCACGGTTTCCAGATCTGCAACTCTGCTTTGGAATTTTTCCGGCCACTTCCCGCCACGCTAAGGCGGGCAGCGCCGTGATGGGAAGCGAGCTCGCATCGTTGCGATTCCTCCATCTGCACGACAAGGCCGAACTTCCGGGCGCTGACCAACCCGCGGGCGTGTCCCTGGCTGATGGATTTGGGCCCCTGCAAAGCATCAGAGCTCGTATCCACATTCAATGGCAGAGGCGCAGGTTTGATTACGCTTGAGAAGAACTTTGGCGGTTTCGTGGCTATTTTGTCCTTGGTTGAAGCTCTGGTTGTGGAATTGAAGTCTTTCGATCGTTGGCTGTTGAGCCACTCTTGATTGAGAGCTCTAGAGGGAAAATATCAGAGCCGCTCGGCTGAACCCCGATTTAGAAGGTGAAGGTATTCCGGTCGATCAAGGAGGCGGGCTCACCTGGCGCCAGGCTGCGTTCGTGTTATCGTTCCCCGCTGCTCGTGTAAGATAACATCCCATTATTGCCTTTGTTATTGGCATGGATGTCAAGCAGGTTGAGCAGAGCACGGGGATATCCCCCACGTGATACCTACCGCGCAACGGAGGAGTCCCCTACCTCAACGAGCCGGTTGTTTACATGCATACTTGAAATTATGATGAGCCGGCACGGCGCACTGAGTTGGCGACCCAGGTGCTTCGCGATCCTGGTCACCGGTCTTAGATTGCCTGTGCCGTATGAGTTCGTGTTCCACGGGCCCAGCAAACTCTTCAGAGGCCAATGGAGAGGTCTCGTGCATAAACGGAGTTTCGAGGTGTAGGCTACCCAGAAATCCGTGGTCCAATAGTAATGCTCAATCCTGGAGGATGGTGAGTAAATAAGAAAAAAGTAGATATGTTATGTTGCCATTTGATCTATAAGATGTATACAAAGAAAAGAAGTAAAGGGTGTGATGCTTTGGTAGATCATGTGGAGTTGAGTTTTCAACATCCACAGGTAACACCTGGTCCTCCACAGTTCAAATAACACAATGGGAATGCCCAGCTGCTTCGCCCGTCTCATGGCGGACAGGAACATCTCAGAGTCGCACTCAGAGGAGAGGTCAACAGAGACGGACTCACAATGGGGCCACGAGTAGATAGAGGCACAGAACACCAAGATTCCCCCGCCATATCCAATCATCAAGATGAAAAGCTAGTTTCCAATGAGGTAGCATCACAAAGCCTCGGATATTGATTAGAAATTAATAATTTCACATTCCTTCCCCAAAATCACAATACAAAACGCCCCAAGTCGCACAGATGCCGCTTTCATATGTTTGTACCACACGTTGCTTCCTCTTCTTCCTCTTTCGCCTGTGTCGTCGTCATACTTTCTTCTCTCCTTAGTCGATCTTGATCGCACTATTTCAGGTTAGTTGGTCTTGAATGATCGACGTTACGCAACGGGTCTACTTACTTATAGATGCGTCGAACAAATGCATAGGCACTCAGGAAGCCGATAGTTCCCGTCAACAGGCCATACACACAGCACGCCATGAAGCTGTATGCAAAGAACAACAAGCTGCTGGTGACACCAGTGATGTGCAGGTTGAAGAAGTAGTAGTACACACAGTAGCCGTAGATCCAGAACGCGCTGCCTCCGCCGACCAGGAACGATTGCCACCACCAGTTGTGGTTCTCAGCACAGAGCTGAACGTAGACAGTCACAATCGTCACCTCGGCAATGGTAACAATCAGGATCACAGACACTACGGCCAGGAATCCAAACACGTAGTAGTACCCGCTCTTATCCTGCCAGAGAGACTGGAACACGTACAGCAGTTCGATGAAGATGACGGCAAATGGGATCAGGCCCGCCAGGAGAATAGACTGCAGCGACTTGATGTACCATGCCTGCTTTGGAACCTGCCGCGCAATAGCTGCGGTCTTGGTAGGATGCTCCCAAGCTGCTGCTTTCCAGTATCCGTAGTATGAGCCAGCGTACACGAGGGGGACTTGGATGCAGAGCCAAAGAACCACGATGGCCACTAGTGTTCCGAATGGGATTGCCGTGCTCGAGGCCTGCGCCCAGACGAACAAGTTCATAACGAACATAATCGAGAAGCAGAGGCCAGGGAACAGAATAGCCGTGACGAAGGCATTTCGGCGGTGGTCCTGCCCGTCGAAACTCTTAAATGTCCGAGCAGAGAAGTATCCCGAAAACAAGCCGGCAAAGATGAACAGACCGATTCCAACACTGATGAAACCACCGCGGAAGCTGGGGTTGAGCACTCCAAAGGCGCTCAGCCCAATTAGTCCAAGAGCCATAACCAGGAGCTGCACACCGGATCCAACCAGAGGGGCCAGGATAACACCAAAGGGAGGTGGCCTGAAGACGTCGCTATGCAATAGCTTCCAGCCGGCAACATCCTCCAAAGCTTCCTCCTCCTCTGATAAGCCAGCTTCTTCGTCTTCCCCCTCCTGCTGGAGGAGGCCGGTGGGCTTCTCCTTGAAAAGGCCGGACTTGACCCTGCGCTTGACCCTGAGCTTTCCCTCCGGGGTAACCGCCTCCTGGTAGCCCTTGATATCTGTTCGGACAGTCCTGGCAATAATGATCATAACTATTCCCGTCAAGAGGCCACAGATGATCAGAGAGTTGATGATGGCAAGCCAGTGGATGCGGTTGCCCTCCTCCTGGTTGACAAAGTACAAGTCCCACCGATGCGACCACTCGATGCTGTCGTCCTCGCGGAAGTACACCGAGTACGAGAAGGGGATGGTAAGGCCATCTTCGCTGAGTGTTCCGTCAGCCTGGACCGTCTTGTTCTTCTGAAGCTCAAAAGCGCCATCCACCTGCGCGAGATCGATGGGACATCCCTTCTCATCTCGGCGATTGCCCGGACCAATACTCTTCGGGTAGACCTCGAATCCAACAATTATCTTCTCCCCGCGGTCGCCAGCTCTTCCCGGAGCCTTTCGGTAGCGGAGCACGATGGTGTGGTGGTTGTTGATGTAAGTGTGCATCATCTTGGCAGTATAGGAATACTCCGTGTATCCCAGCTTGAAGCCGGCGGCGTAGTACTTGCGCGTCTTGTCGACCGAAACGAAGCTGGTGGCACCGGGGAGATTGTCCACAATCCATTCAGTGACATATCCCTCCTGGATCATGCCCTCGGCACGGCGCACATCATCGTGAGACAGCTTGACGCTGCACAGCGAGTGGCACAGGTTGTCGTTCCCCATCTCCAGGTCAATGTCGGAAACCATGATCCTGTCTCCGCGCAGAACCTCGCCCAGGTTGAGAGGGATGCTCTGCCCGCTCAGCAAGCCCCCTCCCGCATTGTGATTCCCGGTCGGGGGGCAGACGAACGGAAGGTCGTAGTAGGCATACTGGAGCTGCGTGTTGTCGGAGTAGACCTTATTTACCAGCAGTGGGATGTGCTCGCCATCCTTGTAGCTCAGGACCGACCAACCTAAAAACCATCTCCCGTTAGCCGTCTGCCGCGCCAAAAATGAACGCAGCCAGTTCGATGCGCGAACAGAACATACCCGGGATGTAGAAAGCTCCCGCCGTATTCAGAAGCCCCAGCCACAAGAGGCTGCGAAGCCCGGCCCCCGGATTGATGAACATGTTGTTTGGCAACTCGTCCACCCAATGCACAAGTGCGGGCCGTCCGCCGTGGATGGTGTGTTTTCCCTTGTGCTACCGCACGTGTCAACTCCCAGACGGAAGCTATGTCCGGCGCCCCAAGCTGTCGGGAGGATGTCTGACGTGTCTTCGAGATTGTCGTAGAATTGAAGCGGGTGTGTGCGCCACCGCAGTCGGTGGAATTAGGTATTGGAAGGGGCGCGGTGATCGTCGGTGCGACCGGAAGTGGTACTCAAATACTAAGTCGAGGCTTGCTCAGGTAAGGAATGTTGGAACGCCAGGTCGAGTAAGCATTACAAAATACAATATATAGAGAAACGGTCGACCAGCAGATTGGCGTGCAATGAGCTTGGCCTGCAAAAGCAACAAATAGTCTGATTAATAGATAATATATTCTCGGTAGAAATGGAATGGACGATACCCGGGGGGGGGGCGAGGAAAAAAGGGTCGAAAGACGACGTACGTATGATAATGAAGGATGGCAAAGGTGGGGAAGCCAGCAAAGCACTCCTGAGTGGTAATTAGCCAGGGGTCTTGTATCTTTATGCCAGCCAGACGGCACCAATCAGCCTTGCGAATAGCGGCAGAGCCGTTCGGAGGGAGAGTTTTGCCGTTTCCAGGCTGCCACTCGGTAGCGGTCGCGGCAGGTGCGAGCGGGCCCCAGCCAATCACAACGCCTCGATCTGGCTGAACGCGCTCGCCAAGTGGCCAATGGCGGGAGAGCGACCCGTCAAACAAGCATTAAAAGCGGAGCAGCTGGTCGATGGTTCCCTTTTAGGCGCCGCTAGCGCATTGCATCGAACTTTGGACACGGCCGCGACCAGCGCTCTGGGAATGCATCGTCTTGGCGGTCGCTTACCGTCCGGGGAGACATCTCGTCTATTCTCCGGTGGCCAGGGCAGCAATCCTGTGTCACAGGGTGCAATGGATGCAATGGATGCAATGGATGTCTTGAAAATACACCAACTCGCCATTGAGTCCTCTGCAATGGATGCCGTTCCCAGCGTCCCCGTGCAGCAAAGGTATGCGGCCAAGCATCACATTGCTTACCATGCAGCCCAATAGTAGTCAATAGTGTCTCACGGGAGACGCAGCCCAGGACCCTGCGCTACACCCAACGCAAGTA